TCGAGGAAAGACGTTTTAGGGCAGAAGAGATGCTAACAGAGCTGTCCCTTTGCTTAGGAATTGCTTCACTTCCTTATGCAATTTATGCTTTTCATAGCTTCTTTTTTTTAATCCACTTTGGAATACATATATTTTCCCAAAAAGTCTCAATTTTTTTCCCATGGTTAACTCCATGCTGAAGTCAGTGGGTAGGGCTGGGGGCCTGAAAGCAGGAAGATGACAATATATGAGCATAGATTGTTTATTAGGTTAATGTTTTAAGAAATGTTTGCTTGTCTCCAGATCCTCTACCCCCACATTCTTGGTTGATTTCTACACCATGATTACTATTGCCTGGTATGTAGGCCCCTCCCTCAATGTCCATGCTTCCTAAAAACCAACATAAACCAGTTGTCCTCCAGTCAGTTCCTACTCATGGCAACCCCATGTATGTCAGAGTATTCAATGGCTATAATCTTTCAGAAGTAAATTGCCAGGCCTTTCTTCCAAAGTACCTCTGGGTGAACTGGCACTTCCAACCTTTCGGTTAGTAGCCTAATGCGTTAACCTTAACACCACCCAGGAACTCCTTCCTAAGAACAGTGGGCAACATACACATTTGTGCATAAAAAACATAACACTTCACAAATACAAACTTGTTTTCAAATGAATGACTTTTTTTTTCCCCCAGAAATGTGTTTTTGGTTTTAGGAACAGGGAAAATTGGGGAAAAGGAAATAATGAGGGAAAAATATGGAAGAGAGGGCCATAAGGTACAGCAAACTAGATCCTAAGAAGAAGTAAGGATTATAGAGAAATTTAAACACGAGATCAGTTTCATTCTTGGGGAGCCAAAAGCCCTCTCCCCACGTCAAGATAAAAATAAAAAGGCAGCCCGATGTCAACAAAATCAAACCTAGGTAAGATACCCTGCTAAGCAGAATAACTGCTACCCTTAGATTTTCATTTGCTTTAGGCAGCTTTCTGACTCATGGTTTAGAGAATCAAGCTCATTAATTTCCCAAATGACTTAATATCTGACTAATGATGATATTTAACCATTAATATGAGGAAATTGACAGTATTGACAGTCTTGGAGAGAAATGTATCTGCTTATTTTTGTACTTAACACCGACAAATTCTAAAGTAGCTTTACAAAGACTGTGACCAGTTATTCCCTCTTAATATTTAGTAATTTCTATTTTCTTTAAAAGCATTTTGTGAAATTATAATTGTTTTTGTATTGGTCTTTCTCCATTTTTCTGAAGTTACAAGTCTATATAACCAAAAGAAGAAAGATTCAAAGTATCAATTCTGTTGTTTTAAGAAGAAAGCTTACATCATCTTCCTAGTAAACATTTTCATTTATCTTT